CCCAGGTTTTAAAATTAGACCCGGCAGAAGGAGCCAAATCTGCGAAGTCACTGCAGAGCAGGAGGGCACGGCTGGGAGACAGCCGGGCCCCCCCCTGCGCGGCAGAGGGTGGGCACAGACGGTGGGAACGTGTGGCACAAGTGAGAGAGAGACACGCAAAGGCTACATTTAAAGAAGGGCCCATTGTTTTTCCCAAACAATGTGCAGCAGATGGGAGAATCGAAAGTGTGTTGCAACCTTCCCCGCCCCCCCGCAGCCCACGAGTTCTTAGCTAGTTACCCCTTCTGGTGCAGCACGTGATCACAGATCACTACTGGAATTCACTGTCCAGCCCATTCTCCTCTCTTCTGACTGCCCCTTGCCAAGAGATACCAGCGCTCCCCTTCTGGAACCCCCGGGGCCCAGCCCCGCAGGGCCCTGGAGCCAAGCCAAACAGCACTCTCAGACCTGGGCTCCGAGCCACCAGCTCTGCCAAGTCATTTTCCAGCACAATTCAACGGAGGCTCATTTGAAGTGAGTTTTTCAAGGCACTCCCTCGTAGGAAGGGATATTTTCTTCACTGATTCCCGCACCCGGGGGATCTGGTTCTTGTTCGTCTGACGCCAGAGCAAATCAGGTGTCACTGGGCTGAAGGCATGAATGGGCCCAGTGAGAGTAAACCAGCAGAGCCCAAACACCGGGGGAGCTAGAGAATGGGGCCCCTTCACAGAAAGCCCCCCCCACGGGTGGAATGAGGACACAAGAGCACGACTGCCAGGCTCCTCTCCCGTCCCACCCCCACCCAGACCCCATCCGAGGCAGGAGGAGGATTCAAGGAATGGGACTCAGCGGGGGGGGAGGGGCGGGGGGGCGCAAGACCATGTGGCTCCCTGGGCCGTGTGCACTAGAGAGCTGTAGCAATGACACATGGGAAAGACGGATTTCTCCCACACGTCCGTACGCACCTTGTCCAGTCTCTTCACGCCCCCTTCTTTGCCCATGCAGGGCTCCTGGGCAGGGTTTGCTCAAACAGCTCCCTGGCTCCTCCCCCGAAGCACAGGTGGGACCACCCAGGACCAGCACCCAGCCGCCCCCAGACTTGAACCCGAATGCAAACTCTGGGCCTGAACTCGCCTCTGCTCCCAACTCTGCCCTTGCAGCCTTTGCTGCGTGCACGGCCTTTGGCTGACACCCACCAGCGTCTGCTCAGCTCTGCAGCACCGAGCCTGGGCCCAGGGCCTGAGAGGTGCCCAAAGCACAGGAGGGTTATTGTGGTTTGGTGCCTGCGACAGGTTTCAAAGCGGCCATAGCTGCTCTCCAGAAGTAACTTTAGAAACTCAGGATAAAAGTGGCCCCCTGGGTGGGCCAGTCCTGCGTTATCTGAAGGCCAGGGGGTAGGCGGACTCAACCAGAAATAATCATCATAAAATAACCCTAATTAACAGCGGGTCACATGCTTTCTTGCTTCTGTAGGCCAAGCTTATTGCACACACTAGGGGCTCACAATAATCAATTGCTCATCAGGCACCTTCCACCTGAGGATCTCAAAGCATTTTGCAGTTATTACTTCAGCCTCACCGCTCCACGCTCCAGCAAGGTAGGTGATTAGCACTGTCCCCATTATACAGATGGGTAAACCCAGGCATGGAAGGGGGAAGCATTTTGCCTGAGGTCACCGCCCAGGAGCCAGTTGTGAGACCAAGAGCACCTTGCACTACCCTAGTGCTCACACTGCTGGCCCTTCTCTCCCTGCGAGGGCATAGCCGTGAATCGGGATCTCGGCAGAGGGAAGCCCCAGGCAGGGAGGGAGAGGGAGCCGGAGCGTGTGCGGTGGCGTCATCGTGCCCCTGGATCAGAACCAAACGCAGCATTGCAGAGCCCTGGCCAGCGCTGACTTCGCTGGAGGTGCCTTGCCAGGGCTATTTTGGTGCTGCTGGGTTGATCTCAGAGGCTTTAAACAGCAGCGCCAGCCTTGGACGAGCTCTGGCAAGGAAGGGACGATCCCAGGATTGCTGTTCCTTCCTGATCCCCACCCCCACCCCAGTCCAGGCCCCTGCTGACCCAGGAATGAGGGCTGTCTACAGAGAGCCCTGCAAAGCCAAACCTGCTGTGGGTCCCTATGGCCACAGCGGGGGTGGGGAGGGCAGGCGGGGGTCTGCCCCATTCCGGCAGGTCCCCGCGCCCCATGGTGGCAGGGTCTGCTCGTGGCTCGTCTCGGTCCCAGCCCACGGCAGGCGAGCCCCGCTGAAGGGCCCAGTTTGCACCGTGGCTGCGCTGGGCTGGACTCAGTGGTAAGTGGCAGGTGGGAGACCGGCTTCCACCTCCCCCAGACATCTGTGCCCCAGCAGGGCTGTCTAAGGAGCAAGGCCTGCGCACGGGGCTGCGGCAGGGGCGGGTTAAAGACCTGGAAGGTTACAAAGTCAGGCCCTTAGACCTAGGAAACACCACAACGAACGTCGCCCCCACTGCCTTCCTCCTGCAGCCTCTCACGGCCTCAGCCACGGGCCCTCATGCTGTCCTCCCCTCATGCGTCTACGTCCTGGCCATCCCCGCCCCAGGCCTGTCCCACTGGAGCGCCAGACACTGCCAGCAGGCAACGCAGTTAGCAGCCGTAGGGCACCATGCTTCCCGGGTCCCCTTCCTGGAGTGGGGAGCAGCGTGTGGTCTAGTGGCTAGAGCAATGATTGCAGCCAGCAAAGTCAAGCACACAGATTTGGCAACTTCCCTCCGAGAAGCAGCATGGCCGAGCCGAGGCGACGCAGGTTTGGCATCTCAGACCCCAGGGTTCTATTTCGAGACGTGGCCTTGTGCAAACTCCGTTACCTTATTTGCAAAATGTGGGGGGATGACATTTGCCAGGCTCCTAGGGCAGGAACCTGAGGCCTGCCTCAGACACTAGGGCTGACACCTGCCCAGCAACACGAAGGCCAGTAGAAAGGGCCAGGGGCTTCTCTCCTTTTCTCCACAGGACACAGGCAGGTGAAACACCGGCACATCTGGCCCTGGGAGCTCGGACAGGGGAGGTTAGCCTGTTCCCAGGCTTTGCCGCCTGGGTGCCCAGCTAGGCCTTAGAGGTTGTCCTTGCCCCTCAGATTGTCTATCTCCCCCGGGGGGAGATCTTTGGGCTCTGACCCACTCCCAGTAGAGGTGGTGGTACCTGGGGGTTGATGGAAGTGGAAGCAAAAATCAGGTTGTAGCAGGACACACAGGAAAGTCCAGCCCCAGAGGGACTGACAGGCAAGTGGGGTGTCTACTGTGTAAAAGGGCAATCTCTCCTGCCCTACTGACCCCACACTTGTTGGGGGGCAGCCGGGGAGCTGAGGGGCTGGACCCCCAAGCAGACTAGCTATTGGTCCTGCCGTTTCTCCTTCCTCTTCTTCCAGCGTGACTCCCAGGCCCAGAACGGAGCCCCCCAACTGGGAGCAGAGAGAGGAGAGATTCCTTTGGCTGGCGCAAGCGGGCCCAGCAGCAGGGAAGGGGTTACTCCAAAGCAAAGGGAAGGTTGATAATTAAATAAATATCAAGAATCAATATGGACAGAGCAAGCATCCAACCTCCCCTCCCCGTGCCCCTGCCGCTGCGGAGTTTGGGTGGAATATGTAAAGAAACTTTCAAGCGAATATTTTAGCCACACAAAGCACACACCACACAACCAGGGAATAGTCTCTCCTGTCAAATAACACACAACAGCAACCGTGAACAGAACTTAACACCCACATATATATTGGAGCCTGTATTTAATCAACTAACACACACAACACAGGGTGACTCTGCTGTGATCTAAAGTAACACCTGTGGTCAGTATGTCATGACACAACAGAACACAAACCCATACAATAACCCCAGTGATCCCCTAAAACAACACACACTGAGTGACCTAAAGTAACACAACGCACAATACAGGCAGTAATCATTACCACCCCCTTTAAAATAACTGCACATACAATACACAACAACCAGAGACTAGTATATCACCTAATCTAACACAACCACCCGCAATGAATAGTCTATCATGTAAAGCACTGCACACAATGAATGTGTTATAACACAAACACAACATGCACCAAGAGAATATCATCTCTCAACATATCACACCCATGCACAACAGCCCCGTGAATATTTGTGACACACTAGCCGCGGGCGCACAGGCTATCCCCTAAAATAACACACATGCACACCCAGAGCTGCTCCCAAAGAGCGCGCGCACACACACACACACACACACACACACACACACACACACTGCTACAAAAAGAACCCATGTGATTCCAACTTCTGACAAAGTTTAGATCATTTCGAAGAAAACCCGTCACGCCAGAAAAGCGCCCCCCGCCAGCCCAGACGGGGGCCATGTGCCATTCGGAGCAGAGGGGAGTTTCACGTGTATTGCTGGAAGGGGGTGGGGGGGCTGAGAGCAATTAGTTATATACGATTATTTCCCTCTAAATGCCCATGAAACAGGAGTGGCCTGAGGCGAGCCGGCTGCGAGGCGTTCTTTTTAATGACACTTTCCGGCACTCACAGTGCGCCCCAGTTTCTCGCGTTCTCCCCCAAAGCGCCCCGGCCAATCGGGGCAGTACCCCGCACCCATCCACCTCCCGCCGCATTACAAACAGCCACACTCGCCACCCTGCCGCCAGCAGCACAACTCAGGGAAAGTGAAGGGGGGGGAATCACCAGGCAAGGGAAAAAACAAACCAACCAACAACCATCCTAAGCAAAACAAATTACAAGTGCCGAGCTTCATCTCTTCTGCAGAGCCCAGATCTACACACACACACACACACACACACACACAAGAAATCCCGCCCTTTTTTAACTGTAAAACTATTTTGCACTAATGGTGGCAAAGAAATTACTCCACTGGAAACAAAACCACCCTCCTCGATTTCAACAGAGGAAGCAAGTATCTCTCGGCACGTATCTCAGTTACTAATAAAAGCAGGCAGCGATGAAGCAGGGGCGAAGGGAAGCCGCTAAGGGGGATTTGGGGTAGGGGGAGAGATATGAGGAGCTGTTACCTGCGTTAAGCACAGAGGAGACGAATACATCCCGAGCTGATCTGGGAAACTGACTAATTGCAGAAGAGAGAACCAAGGCGCAAAAGTTACTGAGTCATTTCAGAGGCTGAAGCAGTGTTCCCCCTCTCCTCTCCGGAGTGTCTCTCTTGCAGGAGATGGATCGCAGGCAGGAGGGTGTGGGGGTGTGGTGGCGGTGGGAGCACCCAAAATAAAGAGAGAGCAAAAGATCCAACTTCAACGGGAAAAACCATCAACCCAAAATTTAAGACAAAAAATAATCATCCTCCCAGAGAGGCGGGGGAGGCGATCGATCTCCGACCCTCCCCAATAAAAGTGGGGGGACACAAGGGGAGCGATCGGGGAAGTTACAGGGAAATCCGCTCCATTTGAGACACGGGCACGAGAGAGAGAGAGGAAAGAAAGAATGAGAAAATGAAAAAAAAGGAGCGAGGAATGAAGTGACGTTATGAAAAAGCCCATCCCAAAATATTACATCCCATTTAAAGATGCAGGATCCCCCTTTTGGCTGAGATAGCTGAGCCGCTGCAGGGCAAAGCTGCCCTGGGAGTTGGTTGTGCACGCTTGGAGGGGGGTAGAGGAGGGAGATGTGTGGGGGAATGCCTAGGTTCCGGGAGGGGGGGCACCAGGTGGCTCGCATGTCAGGAGCGGCGCTAGCCAGGGCTTGCGGAGCGATTGGACGGAGCCGATGCGATCAAAACTGCAGATTCATATTTGTCTGCTGGGCAAAAGCCAGCGGAGACGCTGAAGATTCAAGCCCCATGAATGCAGGTTCTGGGGAATTCACGGGGCCAAGGATAGGAGTGTGTGAGTCTGTCACACACACACACACACACACACACACACACACACACACCTCCCCCTCGAGTTTCACTCCTGTTTTCTTACACATATCAATGTTATGTCTAAAGACACACAAGCGTTCCCTGCCCCCATGCCAGCGCGCACCCACAGGCAGCCACCCAAGGGTTACTGCTCTGGAAGGGGGGGGGGGTTAGTGCCCCTTGAAAAAGAGCTGACGGAAGGACATTGCCAGAGTTTTAGAGACACACGCGCGCGCACACACACACCCCGATGTTATGTCGGGGGGGAATCTTCTGTTAACATCTGGACTTAGGGCACGTAGACAAAACAACAACAACCACCCAGAAGCGACTTGGTAACAGCCGCTCTACTTCCTACGGCCGGTCACTAGTTTGGATGGAAATAGACCAGTCCCAAAGCGACCCCAAGCACTAGAGCTAAATCCAGATCGATATGTTCCTCCTCCCCGCCCCCACCCCAGTCCTTGCGAGTGTTACTGACAAATCAATAGCAAACCGTGACTCTAATAGTTCTGTTTACGACCCCCCCCCCCTTCCAGCAACCTGTCTTTCGCACCGCCCCCCTTGTTCCAGCAACCTGTCTTTCGCACGGCCCACCTTGGATCAAAACACTCGGACCGTGGCGAGACTAGATCAAACCTTGCACATTCTGCAAGGCGATCGCTTTATTTACTCCTCTCCCCTCTTTTTGCTGCAGCCAGACGAGTTAACTTCTCCTGAAGTTTGTTCAGTTTTGGAAAGGGGCCGGCGGGGGCAAGTGTCCCATTAAACTACAGGAGGAAAATGAGAGGCTCAGTCTGTAAAGTGACTAGTCCTTTAGCTCTGCTCTTTGGTTAGCCGAGAGTTTAACTGCCTTGTGGGGGGCAGTGAGTCGATTCAAAATTAGTAACCTCCTCTCGCCTCCTTCCTCCAAACAAACAGCCCCCAAAGAAAAGAAAAGAAAACACCAAACCCAGCCCTCCAGCAAACTCCAAACCACAAGCTCTCTCTGAAAGCAGCAAAACCAACAACCAAACATTTCAGGAGGCTTATTAAAACTAATGAGTGGGGGGGGGGGGGAAAAGGGAATCCCTGATTCATAATTCTGAAACTTAGACCTCAGCGTTCTGTGCATGTCAGACTCTCGAGGGTTGCGATTTATTTATTGACTATTCCTCAACTTCTTTTTTAAATCGAGTTGATCTTGGTAGTGACCATAACAAGAACACAGGGGAAAGTCCTCTCTGGGTAGGACATTTTGCAGAGGTTGTAGGTGAATATTAAAACGGCCTACCTTGGCGCAAAGCGCTCGGCATTTGTTTCCCTAAATAACTAGCTTGGATTGTAATTGTGCGCATTCTGTGCGGGACACTCGGCGGTTAGGGCTTCAGAGCTACTACCCTTCTCTCTATACGTCCAAAGGTGGTAGCAGCTACTCGTAATTACAGGACAAAATCTAGTCAATCTTATTTTCCTCCTGGTTTAAGCGCCTAATTAAATCACAGCATCTGTGCTACCAATTCGAGTCCCCTGGTTTTTGTTTTGCTTTTGGTTTTTGTGTTTCCAAACGACAATCCCGTAGTTTTTTTTTCCCTGCATAAAACAGCCAGAAGTCACCCCGGGTATTTTCTGCAGAGGGAAGTGCTGCGTGCGTTTGACTTTCCGCCTGCGTGGAGCAGCGCCTCGCAGGCGGGAAGGGGCCGCTGGAGATTCCCAAATCCGCGCCGCGCCGCCAAGTTAGCGAGCGAGGCGAGTTCAGAAGTTGCTGCGCTCTGGGGCGCAGGGAAGGGGGCGAGGGTCCCTCGCTGCGCCTCTCGGTAGGGCAGCGTGCAGGGACTCAAGGCCTAGAGCGGCCGGGATCGAGCGAAGAGGGGGCCTCGGGTAAGATGTTCTGTGCTAAGCACCAAGCCACTGCGGCAGGAGGCTCGCTCGCTCTGCAGACGCCGTCCCCACGGCCCCCCGCTCTGGCCACCTTCGCCTTTGCGTCTAGGTCAGTGCCGGGCCAATTTTTTGGCATCATCTTTATAAGAAAACCCCGCAGCAATATTCCTCCCGGGCCAGACCCGTTACCGCAGGAGCAGAGAGCAGCTCGGGGATTGCCCCCACCTCCAACATTTTGCTTCCAAACAGAAAAGTTTTGCCTCTGGAACAAATGTGCCCTCGTGCCATTTCTGAAAGCCCCCTGGGGAAGGGGATGTTTGTTTCTCAGCAACTATTTCACAGCAGGAGCCGAAGGCAGAGTTGCTGGGAGAACGGGGCGGGCGATTAAAATACAATCATTTCTGTTGGAAAATGTAACGCACTGCTACTGCCCATAGCAAAATCAAGCAGCCCCTAGGGCTATTTTTGGAAAGAGAACTGAAATTGGCGTTTAGTTACTTTGGGGGGGGGGGGGGCGCA